GTATTTTATCACAATAAAATATGTCACGATACTCATAACACAATTTAGAAATATACTCACGTTCTTCTTTATTTGTGTGGTCTAGTCGTAATTTTTTCAAGTTCTCTTTCAGTAGGTAATCAGTATTAAGGTCACCTTCTATAAAGTTAACTTCACATTCTTCATTCTTATAAACGGTTACGTGAAAAGGTTCTTTAAAAGTTATAACGGCTTTTACTTCGGAAGCGTTCTGTATGACCGTTTCAGCAAAGTAGTTCTCGCACTTTACAAGTGCGGCTGGCATACGGACGCCTTCCTGAAATTGCTTGTAGTCTATCAATGCTTCACCATGTTGTAAGTCAGTGGGAATCCTAATCTTCCTCTCAGTTCGTGGTGGTATCTCGATCTCATATGGTGGGTCGTATATTATAGGAATATACGCGTTGTGGGTCACCAACATTTGGTTACGCATGTCAATGTTTGCTCCTAATTTGGATAAAAGGTCAGATCCTATTAACCCGTCGTAACGTTTGTCTACGTCATACACATAAAATTTTTGCTGGAGATGGCTCTTGAAAGTTTTCAGCAATGGTATGTATATAATTTCATCATGTGTGCTCTGAGCATGAGTGCTAATAACTTTAAAAGGTTCATAGTATCTAAAATCATTAAAGTATTCTTTAACTTTTGCGGGACTTATAAAGGAACGCGAACTTCCCGTGTCAATAAGAAATTTAGAGTTTATTTCAGGTATTTCTATGTGTGGTAATTTTTGGATGCTGTTACAATAATTAAGGTTTATTATTTCTCCACATCCGTCGAGGCCGTTTCCCGAAAATTTTCCGAGTTTACAGGTATTTCGTCATGGGTATTTTCTTCATAACTATTTTCCTGGTATGCGAGACTTACTTCGTCGGTATTTTGGATATAATTGCATTCGTTGACGGAGTACGGTGCACCGTTTCCATATGAGTCATAGTTATAGTCATAATTATACATAGGCTCGTCGTAGTAAAGCTCATTCACAAGAAGGTTCTGCCTAACAGGGGCGGTACGCATCGTGACGTCATCATCATATTTTTGGAGGCTGTATTTGTTGGTGGGGTATCCCGAATTTAAATCCACCGTATTGGAATGGTGGTCGTTGGTTAGGGGCTTGAGATGGGCGCTGCGGTTGAATTCCGAAACGATAGCCTTGTGTGGGTGGTGTGAAGGTTGGTTGTTGAGATGGAAACCTTGGTGGTTGGTACCCAAATTTCGGCTGCTGTGTTGCTTGGAAAGTTGGCTTATGTTGTGGGAATGTGAATCTTGGTTGTTGCATTGTTTGGAAAGCTGGTCTAAGACTAACGTTTTGGGGTATGCCGAACTTGAAATTATTATGTGGAATTCCAAATTTAAAGTTATTATTTGCGTGTGGTGTTAAGTTGAATGATGCTGGTTTTGGATTTACCGGTTGAGATGTATTAGGTGAATTTTGGGCGGTTTGTCTCAAAAGTTTGCTTTTGGCGTCGTATTGGAATTTGAAGTTTACCTCTTCTGTGACAATACTGAGTGCGTTTTCTAATGTAGAGCAACCTTTTAGCCTTACAATTCTAATCATATCCTCAGGGAGGTTATACAGAAAAACATTTAAAGCCGTATTATTATACACAATCATTTTGGCAGCCTTGATTCCTTCATCAGGCAATCTGTTGACCTTGGCAAAAAGTGAACTCCTAACATTTTGGATTCGATGGCAAAATTGAATATATGTTTCCGATGGTTTTATTTTGAGGGTCTCTAGTTCGATCGCGATACATTCCTCCGAACGAGGATCGCCGAAATGTTGCGTTAAAATTTCCTTTAAGGCTAAATAAGACGTAATGTTTGGGTGATCGCTTAATAAAGTCGCGGCTCTACCCGTCAGTCTACTAGACACAGCATGAAAAACATACAAATCTTGGGCCTGGTTTCCTACTATCACGCTTCCACTAACCACGTAATCACATTTGGATAAGAACAGGTTAAGCTGGCTTTCGTCCCCATCGTATTTAGGGATAAGTGAGAGCACCTCTTTAGGAATTGCTCGAAACTCCATTTTATTCACAAAATTAATGACTAAAACCTATCTCTACTTTATATATAATTTCAATGTTATTTAACTTTAAATTTATTTCTAAAATTTTTGACTTGCCGAGTTGTGCAAATGCGTAAAGATATGGTAGTAAGCTAAGCGATTTACCTATTTAGTGTAAATCAAAATCAAATAAAATTAATACTTAGATTCTACAAATTATAATGCGATATTATGTTGGAAAAGTCAAAGGAAATTGCAGGAAGTGAAAAGGTTTACTCACGCTGTTCTGCTCAATCCCATGTCCTCCTGAGTCTGCTCCGACACCCAATTTGCGCGCTTCCCCGGGAGACGAATTTTATTTTTGGTTCGACGGATTTTCCTCGTACGCGTAAAAACGGTTTTTTCGAATTTTCGCCAAGTTTGGGGCGAACGCGACCGTATATATCATATTCGCGAAACTTTCGGAAAATCCTACCGGCTGCGCCAGTCAAGTTTGAGGAATGCGCAACTTGCTTTTTAAAAAGACACTAAATCGATTTTTAATATTTAATGTTAATTAAAAATTACAAGTGAGTGATACAATCGGATGTTTAATACAGACTGTCCTTACGACTAAACTTAATACTAAAAGAAACGAGGGCTGGAACTGCTGCCTCTGCATTTTCGTCGTCGTCGGAACATTCCACTTCGCGTTACGATGCGTGGGAACCGCGGGCGCTAACTAAGCGTTATTGAGGAACAAAGGGCCAGGAACGGGAGTAGATCGTGTAACTACATATCCTTTTTTGTTTTTGTTTTTTTAACTTGTTTGTTTTTGTTTGATTAACTACAACATTTTTTTTCATTTAAAACAATTCCTTCTTTGAAGTAAAAAAAGAATTACCTAAATCCAATAAAACTTAGCTTACTTAACGTTGGATAGGATTGATGTGAGGCCTTAATAAATGAACAGTAAGATTAAAGGGCAAGTTATACATAGTCAGGTCATAACACCAATCACATAATGCAAAACTTGAATTTTAAATGCTGGCCACAAGAGTAATAACAATAATAATAATAACGCTCCGGACATCTGAGGCGACTGGGTCTCCGGGACGGAACGCTCCAAGCTCAAATGCAGAAGGCGGTGTTCCTCGATACTGCCCGCATCGTCCGCCGGTTTCTCTCCCTTTCACCCTAACCCTCGGCCGTTTGGTCTCCCCTGCCGAGGGCTTTCGTCTGTTTGGGTCCTATTTATATATGTATTATACACAATCTTTATATCTATCTATTTATAATGTTAATTTTTATTCATAATATTTATTTTATATATGCAATATACAGCGCGTCTTTACAATCGCGACAGTAAATGAAAACACATATAGAGGATAACTTCTTAAAATTATATTAAACATTTACATTCTTTAAACATCAATATTTTCAGAGTTATAATAATAATATAACCAAATTGAATATAACTAAAAGATCGACAGATTAGGACTCCTACATCAATAAAAACTGTAAAGGCGCGAACCGAAAGAAATCCCACGCGTAAGCAGAAACTGTTCTGGCCCTTCAGATGGGGTTAAGCAGAACCAAGGTTGAATAAAGGCTTATCGAAGAAAAACAGGACATCTTTTGGGTGCACGTTTAATGGACATGAGACTTACGAAATCCCGCGTTTTGTTGAAGCGGTCTGCGGGAAAGAAACACCGTGAAATTCTTTCTTCGGATGATAAAATATTAACCTTTGAGGAGAGCTACAGTAAATAAAATCATAAGATGTACGCGAACTGTACATTCAGCGTGACGTGAGGTATATTTTTGTGAGAAAGGCGAAAAATTTAATAGGTGTGTGTTCAATATACAGTCCTCACAAACATTGTAGAATTTCTTTCTCATACCGTGTTCCTACAATAACAGACGGTATAATCAGAACAGATGGAACATCGGGTATTCCAGAATCTGCGTCAGCTCACAGAGCGAGAAGCGCGCTAAACTGTTTGGCGGCGTGTGAAATTGACTTCATGCGATACGAAGACAGGATTAGACTGGAGATCCAAGACGTAAATCCGTTGGACTATAAAAACTTGAAGGAAAAGGCCCGCTCCAAACATCATCTTAATTTGGCGTCACACAGGCATCCTTGATTAAAGCAGCCTCCGATATTGATATGCACCTCGTTCGTGCTGCGACAGGCCGAGAAGGTTGAAGGCTTGTATTGAAAATCGCGGAGGTCATTTTTAAACTTAGCATAAGAATCTGTGTTTTAGTAAGTTTCTTTTGATATATAAACTGTAAAAACAATCGCGTTAATTATTTCACAATAAACATGTGATAGAACTTATGACCCGACTAAGTATAATGGTAAGCTATGATTATATTACATAATAAGGGATTAGGGTTAATGATACTAAAATAGTTTCTATAAAAAGAAGAAAGGTTAACTGAACGTCATAAAAAGGAAGACAAAGTTGTTATAAACATGTATATATTTCGGAAAAAAAATACAAAAACATTCAAGAATAAAAATGTTATCTTGGATGCAGATTCACATATCCTACGATTACAGAGTGAATAATTATAGAATCAAAATGACAGCGCGGTTTTGAATAATGTAATCAATATGTATCTCAAAAGTAAATAATATAAAAAGCCATCACACACCAGACACACATCACAAGCCATAACACCAATTTTTAATCAGTATAAAACGAATCATAATCTACTTTTGCGCCATCCTAACTGTTAGAAAGCAAATGACATCCAAATAGGGGAAATACTGCGTAAAAGAGTCACTGGCCCACATGTGATGTCACAACAGCAATTTATCCGTAAAAATATTCATGTTTATTTTTAAGTCTAGCAGACACAGAGAGGGCTAAAAGGCGAGTAAATAAAAAAGTAAACACTGACCCTAATGCGGCGACGACTGCAATTTGCCAAAACAAAAAAGAGTCCGGATTTCGCGATAGCGACGGCGTCAGGTCTCATCGGCGACGAGCAGCTCGTAGCAGTGGAAGGCGACGGGGCGGCCGAACATCAGCACGTGGCAGCGGCAGCGCGGCGGCAGCACCGGCCCCAGGAGGTGAGAGGCGCGGTGGCGCACGCGGCCCACGTACACTTCGCCCACGCGCACCGCCCGCGCCGGCGGCGGCCCCGCCCTCCAGGCGACCCACTGCACCGCCGCGTTGCACATCACCTGCACATTGCACATCACCACGACGCGTTCGTGCGCAGGTGATGTGATGCTCGTTTGCATTCGCGCAAAGAAAAGTACGTCTAAGTTTCCGTCAGATTACAGCGTACGCGTCTTCAAGGCAAGAGCGATTAGGTTTAAACTGAGCTAGCGCGCTTACCATCTGGTGGGACGGCAGTCAAGCATTGGCGAGTTTCCAATAAAAAAAAGTGATAGCTCAGTATCCGGGCGTTCGCGCTTAATTTAATATACTCGAGCGACACAGGCCCCGGCAGCTATGAAATTGTTAACTGCTTCAGGTGTTCAGCGGGAAGGGAAAGCATAGTGGGTAGAAGACCTGCTTGTTTGCGAAATATGCCCTAAAACTCTCTGTACAAAGGAGGGCTTTGCCCAGTAGTGGGAGATGCATATGCTCTGCTGATGCATGTTTGAGGCTCTTTGAATTTTGACAGTATTTTAACGTTTACCGTCTAGTATGGTAGAGCCACGTGGTCTCACAATAGATCAGCGTAACTAAGAAGTATGTAAATTTATAGTTTTGTATTTCGACTGTCGAAACAAGTAACTGCAACCTGTGGGGTTGTACAAGACATGTGGTAATCTAAAAATTAAGTAAAACAACTGGTTTGGTACCATTAACTCCCATAGAAAATGTCGCCGCCAGAGTTTAAAATATGAGAATAAGCTTAATTTATTTATGGAAACATAATTTATGCTTTGTACAATCAAAAATATAATTGGTAAGGACAGATAGTTCAAAAATTTTTGGGACATTTATATATAAGCAAAACACCACATAATTTTCTAGAATATCTTTTTTTTTTTTTTTTTTTTTTTTTTTTTTTTTTTTTTTTTATTATCTTTATTTTTATGGGGTTTTTATCTATAAAGATACGCCAACCCCATCGTAACTTATACATATCACAACAACTTACGAAATGCGAATCCTTAAAAGTATATAGATTTGTTAAACCGGGAATTACTGTTTGTTGATTTGAACAAGACTGCAAATACTTTTTATTGTTTCACTTTTGGGATTCGACAATATATTAAATATAAGACCAACATCTAATAAATTTACATTCAGATCTTTAAACAGCAGTTCCCTTTTATTTCGGTTCCTTTCACAGTCCATCAGCATATGATACACATCTTCAATTTTATTGCATACCTCACAATAGGGTGAAACAGCCTTCCCCATTAAGAAAGAAAATTTTGCCGATGGATAGTGCCCAGAACGAAGTCTTAGTGCTAATTTAACATAATGTCTACTTAATTTACAATCATCAAACCAAAGTCCACACAGAGGCTCGTTTTGAATGACTTTATACCATAGTCCTTTCTCTTTTGACATTTCGTTGAAGTGGTTTTTCCAATTGTTAAAACATTTTATTTTAAACCTTGCAACATATTCCCAATAATCTGGTAGATATGAAACCTCATTACCCCTCTCGCCAGCCATTTTTGATAACCGGTCTGCCTCCTCATTACCCCGCAATCCTACGTGTGCTGGAACCCATTGCAATATAATTCTACAATTAATTTTGGTAAAACCATAAATCACTTTTAGAATATCATAGGCTATCGAAGCACCTCTGCAGCCAGAGACGCATCGAGCCAAATGTAATAAAGCACTCTTGCTATCAGTAAAAATCACCACTTTACTGATATTTTTATTAAAGGCGTACAGTATAGCTTGATAGATTGCAATGAGTTCCAGGGACATAATAGAAATATTTGCCAAAATTTTAAAGCACTCTTTATGACCTATGTTTTGGACGAAAAAAGCGACTCCACCCTGGTCAATATTTTTTGATCCATCTGTAAAAATTCTACACCAATCATTATACTTAGACTCTAATTCCAAAACTACATTATGTAATAAAACATTGGGTTCATAAACTTTTTTTGGGTGTTTAACACATTCTAATTCACTTTGAATAATATTTTTCACTTGAACATTTGATATCCATGTATCTAAATTAAACATATTATGGATATCTGATGAAACAATTTGGAGCTGGTTTATTTCATTGTATATAGTAGCAAGTAAGGGTTTCTTTTTATTTGTCCAATATCTATTATGTATATGTGTGCCCAATTCTGCAATTGTATTTAAATTTACATTATTAGACCATGACATTAGTTTTGAAATGTATTTATAAGCTAGGAATTGACGTCTTATTAACAATGGAGGTAAATACAATTCGCTTTCCATCACATGGATTGGGCTGCTTTTTATAAAACCACCTACTATCCTAAGAGCATGGTTTTGTATCTTATCAAGTTTAGAAGTATGTATCCTACTACTAGAGTCATACAAGTAGCAACCGTAATCTATTCTACTTCTTATTACTGAAATATATATTTTCCGCAAATGTTTAGTATGCATTCCCCAGGAGCTACCAGTTAATATTTTAAGTATGTTTAAATATTTTGAACATTTTTTAACTGTTTCATTAATATGTTTTTGCCAAAGTAAGCTTCGATCCAACCACATTCCTAAATATTTAATATGTTCTACCCTAGTCAACTGCTGGTTATATATTTTCAAACTAGGCACTATTCTCCTTCTTCCCCTGCTGAAAATACAAAAATTTGACTTATTTGGAGATAGAGTCAATCCAATCTCATCTAGTAATAAGCTTAAATGCGTTAGTGCTTCCTGCAAATAACGTTCGCATTTATTTATTTGTTTGTCACTTATGAAGAAAACAAAATCGTCTGCATATTGTGATATCATAACGTTACTAATCTGAACACATATTTTGTACGTAACTAGATTAAACAATAAAGGTGACAGTGGATCTCCTTGTGCCAGACCTCTATTGGTCCACCTACATTCACTTTCTTCCGTACTAAACTTGATATATAAATGTCTTTCATTCATAAAAGACCAGAGATACGCACAGAATTTAGACCCAATCTGTAGTTCATCTATTATTTTTATAACAGATTCAATTGTTACATTATTATAGGCGTTTTCAATGTCTAAAAAACATGCAACTGTAGGAATGTTTTTTGTAAATCCATTTTGAATGTGAGATACAAGACGAGATAATGCGTCTAAACACGAATATGATTTCCTAAATCCAACTGTATATGGAGATAGAAATTTATTATTTTCTACATACCATTCAAATCGTTTACACAGCATTTTATGAAATATTTTGCACACACATGACATTAATGCTATAGGTCTTAATTTAATTTCACTATTACACCCTATGTTATTTAAATTTTTTGGTATAGGTATGATTTGAATAGTTCTCCATTGATAAGGGATAACACCGAAATGGAAAATGTTATTATATATCCTTAGAAGAAAGAGTTTTGCTATGCCAGGGAGATTGTATATCATGGAATAGGATATACCATCTTGTCCCGGAGCTGAATCCTTCCTTTTGAGGCAACATTCAAGTTCTTGTCTATTAAATTGAGATTCTAAAATAGGATTCTTAGATTTAAAACACGGAGGTAAATTAGTTACATAATCTGGAGTTAGCGATCTAAGTAGATCGTTTCGTTTTTCAATGGGGGGGCACTCCCTTTTTTGCTTATAGCCTTTCATCCACTTCATACGACGCCACATCTCCGGTACAGATATAACTTCATCAAAAGAATTACAAAATTTTTGCCAACTAATTAACTTAGCATTTCTAATAAGTCTTTGGGACTCTGAAGTCTTAGATTCTAATTCATTTAAATTTTCTGGCGTGGGGTTTTTACGAAATTTTTTTAAAGCTAACCTTCGCTGTGCAACTATTTTAGATAATTGGGGCGTCCAATAATTTTTGGGTTTAAATTTTTCATCTGGTTTCAATCTTAGCTTGATATACGGTATATGTTTCTCAGCTGCGTGTTCAATTGAATTTACAAAGAAATTATACATTTTCTGAACATCGACAGTATATGATTTTATATCCTCTACCATAATTTTTTCAAAAACCGATTGACTATATTGACTCCAATCGGCGTTTTTAAAATTGCGCTTTTTAATGTTGTATATGGTGAAAACAGAATTAACCGAGATTTTAATGATAAGGTGATCACTGCCTAGATTTTCATTAAACACTTTCCACTCACATTTTATTGCAATATCAGATGAGCAAAACGTTACATCGGGAGAAGTTTGTTGAAAGCTTCCATTAACCAACTTAACCCGGGTTGCCGCACAGTTATTGACTGATATAAAGTTATTTTCTACAGCTGACTCCATAATTTGGATACCCCTCACATCCGATTTCCCTGACCAATTAGTGTGGTGGCCGTTAAAGTCTCCCGCTATTATGGTTCTATTAACAAAATGAGAAAAAAGATCGTTCCAATCATTTTGTTGCGTACGTATAGACGAAGGACAGTAAATCGATACAATATATTCTAGGTCTTTACAATTTAGTAACTTAATACACACCGTTTCGATCCCTTCGTTACGAACATTGAGAGCAACACGATGAGATTGAATTGACTTATGAACTAGTAACGCAACGCCGCCGTAACAATCAATTCTATCATTTCTATACACGTTATAACCACTAATATTAACGTCGTACTTACAATCAAACCATGTTTCGCTAATTAAAGCTATATGAATATTTTCTTTTACTAAGAATTCAGAAAAGGATATAAGTTTAGGCCGTAAGCTTTGTGAATTCCATTGAATTATGTTCAGCTTTAGAATTTTATGCGACTTATCCATTATTGAAAAAATTCATATTTTCCATAAATTCTTCACCAAATATCACATTAACCAGCAGCTTTGTAAGTTCTTGAACCATGATTTTTAACGTTGTTAAAAGTTTTTCTTCAAATTTACCCTCGGCTCTATAAATATCTTTTACTTGACTCCACACCTTCTTCCATTCAAATTTGCTTGAGATGTGTGTATTACTCTGATGACTATTTGTTTTTTCTTCAATTGTTTTACCCTTGTCGAGATCTGCGGATAAATCTAAGTTAACCTGATCTTTTTTAAGAGATTTACGAACATTTTTTATGTGTTTTTCATGCGTTATGCTTGTTGTACCCTCTTTTATATGAACATTTGCGTTTTGTCCTTGTTCCTCTTCTGTATTCGATTTCTCTTGATGTATAACCGCTTTTGTTAATACATTTCTATAAGTTTCTTTATTACTCAAAGGTGTTGGCGAAGTTTTAGCGATCTCTTCTGTTTCCCCGTCCGCGATAGGAGTTTCCATTTCTTTCTTCTCTATAAAAAGTTGAAGGGCTTTTCTGTATGTGACTTGCTCTTTACTCATGATTTTTCTAATAGCTTTCTCTTTAAGAAAGACGGGACATCTCTTATCTAGAACAAAGTGATTCCCTTTACAGTTTAAAACATTTGTAATCTTTAGTGTCACAATTTTCATGATTACCTCCGCACTTTGGGCATTTAACTTTTTTGGAAGGGCAGTATTTAATAACATGGCCAAATTGCCAACAACCCGAACATTGCGTTACTGGAAATACATATGGTTCGACTTTAAATCGACAGTCATAGGCATAAACATATTGAGGTAAAACATTGCCTTTGAAATTCACTCTTACAGACTCACAATCAATCCATTTCCCTTCAGAATTTAATCGTTTTAATCTTCTTACCGATAAAATATCAGCACTTGAACTTAAAATATTTGTAAGTTCTTTTTCAGTTATTTCAAGATCGATCCCTTTTACTACTCCGTACGATATTGACATCTCCTGTATTAATTGACATCGAAAGTCCATATCTTTAAACTTTTGACACTCTAGTAGGTTAATAGCATCTTCTTTCCTTTGTAAACGAATAAGAACTTTGTTTGAGCTTTTATATTTTATTCTTAAAATGTCTTTTATATTTTCTGATCGAACCAATTTCGCTAATGCTATTGGTTTAGGTAAATTATTCACAGCTGTAACACAAACCTCATGATTATTTAATATTTCGGATGTGCGGGTGTTTTCCTTACTTCTCACTTCTATATGTTCCTTCCTTATCAAACGTTTGGGCCCCCTTCTATTCACAGTAATAAAGTCATCTTCGCTATGGTCATCCTCTCGATCTTTTCTTTTTTCTGCCATCCGAATTTCTCCCTCAACACTTTTTCCACTTAGCATAATCGTCTCCTCCCTCTTCCTTAATTCATTTAACTCTCTTTCACATTTCTTCAAGATTGCTGAGTCACTTAAATCTTCTCCACTCGAATCATCCTCCATTTTTCATAAAAACAAATTATGTGGGTATTTGTAAAAAAAATAACTAGTGTTATTGCTACGAAGTTGACTATGCGTACGCTCGGTTCAACGTCTCGCTGCACACTTCCTTCTAGAATATCCGTAATTGATATTTATATCAGATAATATTTTAAGTTCTAATCCTAGAAATTACGTAAAGCTTCATCGGACAAAAGAAAGATTTCGCTGGCTACACAAACTAGGAATATCATACCTGATATTTAGTGTAATTGTGGGCTCTTCCTCCCCAATAGAGGACGCAACAATGCTTTGATGGATAAAGAGCTGCAGGTAGCACTTTACATCTGGCAATAAAACGACAATTATTAATTGAATATGCTGTTTATTGCCTCGCGACTCGAGACTCCGACTCGATACGTACTTGTGCGTGGTACGCGCCACCCATATGACCTCTCCGTAGCTAAGGCCGGCCGCTACGGCGCCGCTGGGCACCGCACCACACGCGCTCACCACCCACACAGGTCCCGGTTGCTGCCAACCGCACACCCAATCTAAACGCCACCGTCGAAAGCTCTAAGTTTACTCTGAATTCTTCCGTAATAACGCAAAGGCTACCTTTAGACATTTTCACAGTCCTTAGTTCTTCCCGCAACCATTCGACATTTCAAGTCTTACAAAGAATATTTAACGGACAGATCAACCCAAATAGATCATGAAAAATCAATCAATCAATCAATTTAGCAAATCTTCCGCTGGTGGTACTTACGTATAACAGAAATATGCTTTTAGGACACATTTGTACACAACGTTCTCTAGTCCCAAACTAAGCAAAGCTTGTACTATGGGTACTAGAAAACTGATAAACATACTTTTCTTTTGTAAATAAATACATATTATACATATAGAAACACCCAGACACTAGAAAAACACCATGTTCATCACACAATATTTTTCCAGTGGTGGGGATCGAACCCACACCCTCTGGCGCAGGAGGCAGGTACACTACCAACTACGCCATTCGGGTCGTCGTAATATTATCATTGTATTATATATATTTGATGACACCTGTCTTTTAGACTTATTGTTATGATCGTATTATGATTTAAACGTGATTATTAGACAATAGATTTCGTAAAATTATAGATTTGTGGTACCAGGGTGCGAAAGTGAGTTCAGAGTACGGGATCTATAAAACAGCATTTTCGCATGTTAGGTAATGCAGGTAATAATAACCTGAAATTTGTGTTTTAAATTTCGTTTCCCAGGACAGCGACAAATAGGAATCGTAACTTTTCCAGTCAATCAAGTGCTCATTGACTTTCTCCTTTAAAACGCGCCATCGCCTGATAATAAAGTGTGTTATTTAAATATCGCGTCCAGCGAATACAACCATTTTAAACTTTGTGTCAACATCTTAAAGTGTGTTATTTAAATTCCTTTAACTCACTCAGAATTTGGATCTTTACATCGTAAAAGTAAATCAGTCTCTTTTATCTGCAACAAATGAAAATTAAATTAATTACTTCATTACCAAATATTATATAGTAATTGAGATATTAAGATCATACAGCAATAGTAAGCCAATATGTCCATCTGTTAAATGTATCGATTATTCCCAACATGTCATCGTGGCTTTCCAAGAAAGTTTTAGTTTTGACTGTAGTCCTCGTAGGAGATACTATCTGTAAATAGGTTGGTATAAAATTATTATGAAAACTTATTACTATTATGAAAACAAGATTGTTTTATATTTTGTTTTTTTTTTCGGGAAGAGGTTGGGTGGTAAGTCCCAACTAACACTGCAACCTTCTTGTATCTTGTATTAACTGATGTTTGTGCTTTCAGTCCACTCTTTTCGGGATTTACTTCAATTGTCCATTTGCGGAACCAATCGCCGAGGCGGTTGGCGGCGCTTTGGAGTCGATTGGTTAGTTGACTAAGGTTGCGGTCTGAATAAACACTGCGACCTGCAAAGGTCGCGGTAGCCTTCCCCTCGAAAATGTTGCCCGCTTTCTGTATTGAACTTAGAACCTGTATCGACATATAACGACTAACGATTTGGAGCTAATTTTGTTTCTTTGATTTTAAAGTTGTACTATATACGCGTTTTTCTTGAAACTGAAGAAATGCGTTTAGGAGAAAAAATTTAGGAAGTATAAGACGTTAAGAATAACCAAGAACATAATGAGAAAACGGGGATTTCGATATTAAAGTCAACCAATGTGTATTGCAGGTTCTTACCCTCTTATTCTTATAAGTCGAAGCTATCCTTGAAATCAGCTGCCGGCTAAAACTATCGTAATGATACCATTGCAAAATTTCCGTCGTTGTCTTTCTTTGAAAATTTGCCCAAAGCTCATCCAATTCTACAAAAAAGTAAATTATGATGAATAGCAGACCAATCTCTCTGCGAATATTGTTTTTACAATAACGATATTGTTTTTCAAGCTAACCGTTACGCTCTTGAAACGCTAACAGCCTGTTGATACTATCGTATATCCAAACCCTCCAAGCTTGGACGTTCCACATCAAACTAACCATCATTGAGTGCCAATCGGACATTTCATCAGTGGTAATTATTGGAGTTCCTAAAAATCACAACGAATAATAAGGAAAAGTAAATGAAATAAGATAAGCAATGTACGGATCAAACAACCATGGTTATGTTGCCTTCTATGGTATATAATGATGGATGTACTAGTATGAAACAAAATTAAAGTATGCAAGTAGCAGATTGGGTTGCAAAAAAATTGCTCGCTGTAACAAAAATTCATTTCAAAGGCAAGATTAGCTTTTTTTACCTTAATCCTTTTTTTAAATTTGTTCGTTCACTTTTTTTATTTTATTCTACGTCTGCTCTCAAATCAAAGATGTCCGCTACGGTATTAACATTGCATATAAATTATATCGCATAACTAATAATAATAATAAAAAAACTTACGTAAACTAAACGCATTCTTTGATTGTATATTGCCCTTGGAAAGTTTTAATTGAACGTTATCTGTAGTTTTAGTTGTACCCAAGGGAGACTTCACTTGAGCCGGCGTAGACGTCGCTTTTCCTCCAATCGAATGCAACGGCTCGGTATCAATAGAAACATGGTGCTCAATACTCGGCAGATTGCGGTTCGTCGCCAACATGTCGTCGAGCGTGTCTGACGAAGTACTCGTTCTAAGAAAGCCATCTCGGTCCGAGCGCGTATGTCCAGTAGAAAGGCTGGTATTGGCGCGAGAATAAGCGCGCGACGCTGTCCTACTGATTGGTGTTGCTTCGGAGTCGTCACTAGTTAGCTTCGTCGGTATGTTATCGAACGGGCCGTGCGACGTGTACAGAAGGTAGGCGGCCGTGGTGTCGGTTTTGCAGCCAGAGGCCGGCTTAGAGGCGGGGCACGGGGAAGGGTTTTCACCAGCCGTATGCCTTGAGGGACACCGCGTAAACGACACTTGGAGTCCAGACGCGCAGATGTGCAAACCGCTCCCGTCGAACTGGAGACGCCGTGAAGGGCACACGTCGGCCTCTTTACAGTGGCGCAAGCATTTGCACCGCTGCCTGGCCATACGTCTCACAATTTCATTGCACCACAGTTCGCATTGCACGCATACGCTCTTCATGCATTTGCAGACTTGAATGACCTCTGTGAGCATCGATGCGTGATATGATAAATGATATTATAAGAAACTGAATATTTTAATGATATGAAGACCAATAAAATATACAGTCGTACGACAGAAGTAATTATTGAAGACATAAGTAATTACTAATGTTAGGATGAAGTTGCGCACAAGTAATTAATGAAATAATAATAAAAAAGAAATTTTAGAAATAAAGCGTCTGTTGGAGATTACTATAGAGCTTTATAAAAACATACCCGGTTGTAGGAAACGAACCGCTAGATAACTTGTAGCATCTTGAACAACATCTAAAAACAATATATAAAAAAGTAATTAGTACAAATGGCGAATTAATTCAGTTTTTTTTTGGCCTAAATGCTATACTATAGGAGTATACTTCACTATGTATTAGTATAAAATCAATTTTACTTAATTTCTTAACTTTTTTAAAAACTAGTATCAATAACACATTTAAAACGTGAACGGATAATAACTGTGGTTCATTCAATATTGAAGCGAACAATAATACTTGTTTTGTGAACTCTCTACGAATGACCAAAATAATTTCAATAAAAATTTATAGTTGCAATATTTAATGTCAAATTAATCTATGATATCACTATCCGTTTACATATAACTTAAATAGTATTATAAAGTAAGTACCCGGAGGACCGTGTATTTTGGAAATTTAATTTATCGATCTTACCGACGTAAAAATAAGAAAATATGAACTGATGTTTTTCACAAAAGAAAGAACTTTAAAAAAAAAGGGAAAAAAATAACAAAATAACAAATCGACAAAAAATTAAAAATAACGAAAGCAATGATCTGGAATCGAAAAAAAAGTAAAAACAAATGTGTAAATGATCGTGACGCGAACCACGGCCGTCTGTTTTGGGGCCGCCCGATTACCGACCGAACTATTATGACATTTGCTCTTGCGGCGAAATTACCGTCATATTCGAATTATATTTTTCATTCCCTGAAAACAGGGATAAAAGGACATTTTCTAAAAATGAAACCTAGCTAGATCGATTTTCCGCCCCTGAATCTATGCACATACTAAATTTCATGAAAATCGCTGGAGCCGTTTCCGAGATTCCGATTATATATATATATATATATTGCTCGTTTAAAGGATAAGATATATTTTGAAATTTAGTAGGTCTACCGTTCATAACATCCTTATATTTATTAAATGATTGGAGCATTAAATTTTGAAGTTTTATTTCGATCTTCCTTGAAACTACTGGATCTACATTTGTTACTTTTAATTGATCCGCGTTCTTCGGCCGTAAGCTGGAAAAATGCAATACACACTTTAATAGACGAAGCATTTATCAAGTAATCTTCAATCGACAGCAATATTTACATGTTTGCGCCATCCTGATACGTTTTACGAAGTGTTCCATGACGCAAGAGAACATTTTCACCTTCCTTTTCCATTGAATTAACTAGAACTTTGAGAGCATCGGTCTTTTCACCTTTAAAAGAAGAATACGTTTAACAAGTTAAATTATTCAAAACTAAGCATAATAATGATAATCTCGTCAATTCGTCCTTTACCAACTTTTTAATAATATTAGTGTTAGACCCGTGCAGTAGGTTTTGTAAAGTAAATGCCTATACATGTCCCACTGCTTGGAACAAGCCTCCCATACAGAGGGTATCAGGGCATAGTCCACCTCGCGGTCCCAATGCGGATTGGCGGACTTCACAAATCTTCGAAATATTTTTTTTGTTATTATTTCGAAAATATGCAGATTTCCCTACGATGTTCTCCTTCACCGCGGAGCACGTGATACGTCAGCACTTAAAATTAACAATTTCAGCGGTAGCGGCACCGGGGATCGAACTCAGGTTAAAAAAAAAGATAAAGATATAAGCTCGATTATAATTGAATTAATGGCGAGCGCCCGGACACTGAGCTATAAGTAGAAGGTTTTTTTGTTTGCCTAATTAGGCCGGCAAGTCCGTGACGTACTACGGCCTCGCAGAAAACCATCCACCGTAAAAATACTTTTAATTTCGCGTCTGATCTGATAAATAAAGTATATCTAAGGTAGAGGTAAGGAGGGAGGACCACCTAGATTATCAGCGCACCTACATCCTCAAATACTTTTATAAATTACAATTAGGGGACTTTTTTTACAATTACTGCTTTTTGGTTTACCATAAGAAAGACCACAGTGAAATTTTATTGTATCAATAAAATATTTAGAAAATACACACAAATACTAATATACTAAATATAATTATGTATTAGGGAATATATGTTGTGATTAAGTTATCGTGTTATTCAATGTTCTAGTGTTTCGTACCTTGAAATTTGATGTAAGATGTAAGAAGTTTGGCATTCTGTTCAATGACACCTGAAATACAATATGTTAGTGTTTTGTTTAATTTCTTAATAATTTTGAGTCAAGACTAACATGAAGTATACAGGTAATGTCTTTTACCTTAAGAGGTAAATTTTATCATATTGATCTCGTCGAAAAGTAAGCTTCAATATGATAAAAAATCTATGAGGAAACATCATCACAAACGCCCGGTTTCTGAAATACTGATCATAGTAGAAATTAAGTAATCAGCTGTCAAACGGCTTTTCAAATGTCACTTAAGTTGCCAAACGGTTGGTTAAACTCTTTAATTGATCATTATGATCATTACGAAGATCATCCCATAACCATCCTTTTGGCAACTCAAATAACATTTGAAAAGCCATTTGTTAGCTGATTATTAAATTTCTACGATGGTCAGTACTTTAGAAACTGAGCTTCATTGAGCGAATTCTTTTATTTAAATTATGACGTAAGTGAACATACGATTAAGGTCCGATTTGTCGTATCCAGTCATTGCGACGTTTGCCGTGATGTTCTGTAACTTTGATCCGATTGTAGACTGCAACGACTTATCCTCGCGGTTAATTTCATCATCGAACGATGTTAGTTGACGCAGACTGTAATATGGAATTCAAGTAATTATATTGCTCTTACATTGGAAAACTCGAGAAACTAAGATTTACTGGCGAAAATTATGTATCAGTATTATTTTTGTTGATAATATCATCCACATGACCAGCTTGCTCGTTTGCCTCCTTTTACCACAAAAAAAAGGATACCTATTTGCCTAACTTCAGTCACCAGTATTGTTCCCGCGTGGGCGCATGTGCGTGGTTAGGTTTATGCGTACTTTTTTCTATGAGGCTTTGACTGTAGATTTTATTGCTTCACATTTTTCACATTCACACTTTATTGCTTCGATCAGCAAAAAATTGCTAGGGTTATATTCTTCGAAAATAAACATAAAATTAGCGATAACTCGATAAAATAGTTTCAGGTAAAAAATTACTAAGCCGCTGCCTCCTTATAAGACTTGGGGATTTTCCCTTCGACGAGGGGACGGTCGCCGGCTGCCTCCATTTCTGTTAAGAGTGCAATGTAAGCGTCTATTTCTTTATCTGTAATAGTTATACAATAAATACCAATAAGTATGAATAGCTCACAATAAAAAAAAAAGATAAAATCGTAAAATCGTCGATGTGTGAATGTTTTTTAGAAGAGCTCAACTGTGTGATAAGCAATATTGAGAATAAAAGCCACATGCATCAAGTATTCGAGCCGCTAATTGCGGGAATAGATGTTTCGCGCCCCATTCCATTTACCGAGTGCTAAACATTAACTTTTATTACGTAAGCCAATATTTCTATATTATAGTGCCTCGTGGCGGCGTATACTTCCAATTTATTTTAAAAATTTAAAAATCTTTAAAGTTTTATCTTATTAATTCAAAGTTAACGCCAAATTTTTTTAATTTCATTTAGGCTTGTTTTAGAATCAAATATAGAGATTGTTTAAAATTGTTAACGCATACCTGGTTTGGTCACAAGTTCTGATAGATATTTAGAGGATTTTTGAATGTAATCTGTAACAAGAGTAACCAAAACCATATTTATTAGAACGTTTACGTTATAATGATATTAAGTATAGAAAACCTACAAACCTTTAATATGTACGCCTATTTTTCTTAGAGTGTTTCGCGATCTAATCATTTCCTCTAATTTCTTGCTTATGTAATACTGATCTCGCTCACAAGGATTTGATGTCTCAAGAGTTTTTGCCTTTTTCAATCTAACAAAATAAAATAAAATAAAGCAAATATGATGACCATTTTTGAAAACTAGATATTCAACATTTCAAATCTTTTTTTTTTCGTTACATTTTAAGAGGACGAATTTTGTTATATTGTATTTTTTGGACTTCCTTGTAGATCGTATACGTCAAAGCCCTGTTATAGCCCCTGTATTATTTTCGGAGCGAACTTTCGGAGTTTGAGAACTTTCGGAGTCAATTCAGATCTGTAGTACGCGTAGAACGCACTAGTTATATATTTGTGTTCTAAAAAATAAGGTGTATGAGGTGTATTAGTTTATCATATTAATATGGAAAATCAACCTTTGTGCAGCATAGAAATATGTCTCAGTGGCGTCGTCTTCCTCGATGAGGACATCGTTGCAACGCTTTTGCATCTCAGAGATAATCGCCTCGCGAGCAAGGGTGCCATAACCTTTTAAATTAGGAGATGCTTATATAAGGGGAGCCGTAAGTCGTAAGCCTAAAGATAAACTTGAATATCTTACCTCAAATTAAAGTTTTAATATGAAATTTCCGGTAAGTTACTTAAAATTAAAATGTAAACTTCGGTTATTTACGTACGTAAATAGCCAAATCCCGAGATGGATTCAAAACATTCTGGTTAAAAATCGTTATCGTTCTTTCAGACACTATTAAAAGCTTACTTTTAGTCATGAAGTACTCTGAGAGAACCCGTGACGTCTCGATGATAACGTCTGAAAGAGAAAAACACATCGAATAAAACTAAAAGCAAATATTTATTTTTGTCGTATATCGATCGAACATTTACCTTGCATTGAATCTTGCATCGTGGGCGCCGTGCCACCGACGAGTGAGCTAAGCTTCCTCTCGAACTTTTTGTGCAAACGTCCGGTGTCGGTCGACTCCTTCACTGACTGGTCTACGTCAAACGGTTTATTTGATAGCCTACGCAGATTAAAAAAAAACTTTCTTTTCTGGATATTTTAGATGCAAGAAGTAGCGATCGCTACAAGCAGGCATATATCTCCTATGCAAGGATAAAACGTTTGTGTGTTAAAGGCTAATATTAATGATTATTTAAATGATAACACACTGGTAATGAATTGGTCGCTCCAGGCTCGTTCAATCGGTTTTTATATTGTATTTAATATATTAATGTCACACAGTCTATGTCAAAAAAAAGAAAAAAAAAAGTACTGAGTTTCTTTCACCGGTTTTTCTCAGTTCAGTGGCTTTCTTTTCCGAACCAGCGGTATCGGCTTTTCAATCAATATCTGATAATATATAATATATGCTGACGTATCACGTTTTCAGCGGTGATCGAAACCTGCATATTTTCGAAACAATAACAAAGAAAAACATTTCGAAGATGTGTGAATTCCGACAATCCACAGTGGGGTCGCGTGGAGAACTCTGCCCTCATACCCTGTCCAAAGGCCTTACCCAACAGTGGGACATGTAGGCTGTTACTTAATTTATTTATTTTTTACCATTCGGAGGCCTGTATATGAGTTAATTCGTTGCGAGGTTGCTTGTAAAATGTTTCGCTGCCACGCGCTTTCAACTTTTTATGCAGCATTTGCAGGGCTTCTTCGTGAGGCAAGTCATCTGGGAATGTTTTGCCTGTGATTTGCGTGTCTGCGAAAATCACATCCAAAATGTTGAGAACTACTAGTTGGTTATCTAAACTAAAAACAACAACAAGCAGCGATATTCCATAAAGGTTTTATTTTTTCTTGACCAGCTTAAAAAGAACGCACTTTTGTCAGATTGAAAAAAGAATGAATTAAAAATTTAAAACAACATGTCCCGCTGAGTTTCATTCGCCGGTTCTTCTCAGTTCAGTGGCTTTTATTTTCCGAACTGTGCACATTGGTAGCGTTTTGACAATCAATAAGTAAGTGTAATGCTTCTATACTGAGTAAAGTTATTTGAATTTGAATGAAAGCTTCACTGGTTTATAAGGTTAAAAGAGGCTTAAAAGGTTCTTTACAGACTCATTACAGAAATCTAATGGTCTAAGAAAATAAAAAATAAAAAACTTAATGGACCAAAAGCGGCCTTTTTTAAAAAGCTACATTATAAATACGTATTTAATTTTTTAATTCTCACCCGCGACCGTCCTTGGTTCACCAATTCTTAATTCTGCTTTTGATATTTTATCAGCTTTTTCCTTGTTAGTCTTTTTACTGCTCGCTGCTTCGCCTTCCTGATGATCGCCACCCTTTGTCCTACCATTCAAATAATTACAATGAAGACGGTGTTTTGTAACACATATTAATTATAATGAATGGAAGGATGGATGCCATGCATAATAACTTATCAAGATTGTACGAAACTGCTAATATTTCGGTAAGTCTTTTACTACGGAACTTCGGTAGGTCTTTTATAACATTTTTATACAATGATAAATTACACACAATATGTAATAATCGTATATACAACATATTTAAAAAAAAATTTAAAACGTTATCGAGGAATGGGGAAAATGTTTAAAATCTATATTTATTTTTAGTATTTCTCACCTCACAGACTGACTTGACTCCGTATCTAACCGGTCTGAAAATAAAATAAAATACAGTAATGAAAATTTTATGGGTCAATGCCGTAATGGAACAGATTACTATCGAATCCTTACGTTCCTTTGTATCATCGTCTTTAACCAGTGGTTTAACCAGTGGTAGATTTGATCCGTTGGTCGCCCTAGGCACATGAGAGGTTGCCGCTCCCCTACTCGCTGTAAAGCAAAAAAAAATTAAACGAAGTAGAATCAAGTTAAAATAAAAAAAAAAAAACGGAATTCAGTAAATGATATCTGATCATGAAGCCGAAGAATGCTGCCATGCTGTTGATACTTTTCGAAGCGAACGCATGACATACAAATTGCGGAATATTGACATAAAAATGAGTGCGAAATATATGAGGTTTTCAATAGAATGATCAAGTACATACATTCCTCTGTAGCCACTCCTGCTATGTATTTCGAAGCTGCTTCCACTCCATCTGTTAGAAAATATATGTAAGTTATCGTATATGTTATATTTTATAATATTTCTATTGATAATAAAATGTACCTTCAACGTGCGCCTTTCCCTGAGGACTAATCCCTCCGATAGGTACCTCTTTAACGCGTTCAGAAACTTTTTCCATTATTAAGGGATCGATATGGTGACTAGTTACATTCGGTGCTTCTTCTAGTCTGCAAATTAGAAACTATTAATCAACGTTCACACTTTAATGATTAGCGTGATTTTTTTCAGACCGATTTCTCACTTGTGAGAAAATATAACTTAGAAGATTTTAGAATTTATAGGAACTTTTTGGAGTGATGTTTAAAATAAGTCTGAGAGTTATGAATTTTAATTATAATAAAATTAATTAAAGAGAGAAGAAAAAATTAAAAAGAGAAGAATAGTTGATATAAATATATCATTTTCTATTCACTTGAACAAAATTTCTATTAGTTAATTTATTAAAAATGTTATGTACATTTCAGCTGCTTGTTCATACGTCTTCTGGAACTGGTCAATCGACAAGAATGGTTTATCTTTTTTCTTTTTCATTCCATCATGTATTACCTGTATGACTTCACCTGTAAACATTTTATTTAAACACATGTAGTAAATGATTTTATCAAGCAGGCGTTGAAATAAATTGAATCGTTCATTCAGTAATTACCTCTTCCTTTAACAATGTTTGCCAAGTTACCTGCTGCTTCGTTGACCGTGTCTGTGGTTTGAAAACAGTTAAAAACAGTCAAATACATAATATCAGTAATCTTGATGATCCAGACAAAAGATTTGAAAGTAAATTATTACAATGCAATTTTAATGACACATTTCAGACAGATTAAGTCTTTTGATTTTAAGATTAAGTCAGATTGGATGTGAAATCTCGTCCAAAAACTTGATGGCTCGATAATATCTAATATATTGTCGAGCCGTCGTAGTATGGAATATGCATCTCAAAATCGTTGTCATATCTCCTATCATGAACAGCTATTAAGTTATATTAATAATAGTACACTGTATATATAAATGTAAAATCCTCTAAAATTTTAATAAAATAAAACCTGAGAGTACACTCTGCAACTGTTTATCCGGTACAACATCGTTAATTTTTTGTTTAATGTCGCTTTTCAGTCCTTCATCAACAGGTTTTAATGGTTCTGAAGGAGAGTTTATAACTCTGAAAGATAACAGAAAAATGCATATTTTTTAATTTCCGTGATTATCGATTGCCTTAGCTTCTTTTAACGTCAAAAAGTTCAGTATTATACAAGATTTTTTGCTGCAACTACATTAAAGTTGACACTTAAAATTTTTCACTTATTTGTAGACAGTAGAAATGAATCTGTTTCATATTGTAAGAAAAGTTCATTGTTGACTGATAAGCTAAGATGATTAAGCTTCACTACATTACCATTACATTATCAAAGAGTACAGTATATAAACACAGAATTTACATACTCCTCTGCCCCGTCTTCATATGTCATCTTGTACATTCCGGCCTTGGCCAGCAATTCGTCATGTTTACGCTCCATCAAATCGGCTAAAAGTTGACGTTTCTCCGCCTCGACTTTTTGCATACAAGAAAGTAAAGAAACGAAGTTATTGTTGATTAACATTTGCGCTTTCAGATAGTAGACCATATAAATATGATTCTAGCATAGAGCTCATGGAAAGACAGGGTTTCCACGAGCCTGATAGACTCTACGTACGAGTATGTGGACATACGTAGATTAAAATATGAGGGGATATTCGGCTACGGACCGTCGAAGTCCGGTGCAGACCATCACATCGTCGTCTATAATAAACAAAAACTTACCTTCAGGAAGCGGCGTAGCCAGAAACTTGGAAGACTTGTCAACCATTTCTATTGAAGATAAATTATTATTCATCAAACTCGCACAACGTAAAACATATAACATTTTTTTAAATATTAAGTGTAAAATTTTAATCCAAATATATTTTTAACTTTGGCCTATTGAAAACCTTACCTTAAAAACCTTTAAAAGTAAAATAAAAACTTTCACAAAGATTACAATTATTTAATCGTCCTTGATATTAAGAAATTCCAGAAAGAAGTAAATCTAAGGTTAAATAATATCTTAGTATTTTACCTGTTAACTGATTTTTGTCTATCTGTTCCGGCGTAGGTTTCTGTTCAGCCAAAGTACTGAGTTTTTCTTTTATCTTAGCGTACGTTGGTTTATCTACCTTTTCGGCAGCAAGACTCTGTGCTTTTGATATTCTAAATTTAAAACAAACTAATTAACATTTTTAACTGGCATAGTTCAAGTTGAAAATTAATTAACACACCTTCGTGCGCCATCGACGTAAGATTGGTCGTGGCCTTGAATACGGGCAAGAGACAAATCACCCTTTTCTTTCATTAAATTAGTCAAGTGCTCCAATGCGGCACCTGGAAGAAACAGGTTGTACACAGAGACCAAGAAGTGTGCATCCATTAAAATTTAAAATTTTCAATGTCAAATAGACCTACCTCTTTTTGTTCCAATACTTGCAAGATGTTTTGAAGCCTCCTCAACTGGTTCTACAAAAGAAATTGTTCTCACTCTCTTCGTAATAGTTATTTTAGAAATGATATAATCCACATTTTTTGAATAAACTTTTTACCAAAATGTTTTTCAATTTAAATTGAATTACTTGTTAACCTTACCGACGAGTTCACTGGCAATGGTCGGTGAAAGTTTCGGTGGTATGGTTTTTTTCAATTCCGATGAAATTTCCGCTTCCAGTATATCGTTTCTGATGTCATTTTCAGACATAACAGTCTTTTGTAATCTGAACAAAAATATCATTATTTAAATCCTTAGATATTTTTACTGTAGTTATGTCTAACTACTCAATAAAAATTTAATTGTTTCAAAGACAAAGACGTAGCCGAAATGCAAAATGTTCGTGGTGTTAAAATAATATTTTTTGTTTCTTGTTTGCTGACATGTTTGCTTAAAAAAGAAGCGTTACATTTATTCTTCACATTATTTAGTTTTAGAAAAAAAAGAAAGAGGGCAATTACGTGTTCTTGGGTTACATACATTGGCTGCAATGCCCTATTTACATCAAGTTAATTTGCGAGCTAAAAATATGTTGCTGTTGACTGTGGTCGGGCCTCGCAGCATCTTCGGCTTTTGCACGAATGGGCAGGCTCGTCTAGGTAAGTACCACGACCTCACAGAAGACCGGCGTAAAGTGGAAGTATAATATTATATATATGTAAATAGCGTTTCGTCTGGTGAGTGAGGTAGTCGGAGCCCAATTTTCAAATCGTTGTCTACACTGCAACTCTCGAGTGTAGCAGATGTCTATGGGCGGCGGTATTCACTTAACATCAGGAGAACCGCCGGCTCGCTTGGCAACTTATCACATAAAAAAAATTGTTAGGACTTACGTATCAGCCGCATCAGCGTACGTTTCTTTATAGCCTTTGTATTCATAAAGCGGTTTAGAGCCCATAGATTTTTCTACCGCTATCAAAAAGTCCATTGGATATTTTTCACCAGCTGCGTTGCCTTGCGATACATGGGAAAAAACATAAGTTAGTTCCATGCAACACAGGTTAGACTTTTTGAATAGTTTAGAAAAACAGAAACAATTTATTCAAAAAAATATTTAATACTTCCAACAATTGAACTTTTAAATTAATTGCTCTTATTTAACAGGAGTTGTAGAGAGCAAACAATTTCGTTATTATTTAGTTAAAACTTCTCAAGTTAGACTATACAAATATGACTTACTTTTCATAGCTATTGGCTGTGATAAAACTTCTGCCACATCTCGTACAAGAGCTTAAAAAAGATAAAAACCGTAGTAAAAAAAGCTCAACAATCCTAGTATGGAACCAAATTAAACAAGATAATTACGGACATTTCATTGGCACTTTAAGATCAGCTGGTGTGATCGACTTGACATCTTCTGTGAGCTTATCTTTAATTTCCTCTTTTATATCTTTCACTGGTAGGTACGGTATAATAGCCGGTGTTTTTTCTATTCTGTAAGAGTGATGACATTTTTTTTATGAAAGTAACAATTAACGAGTAAACTTTTCCGGAAATACTACGACCAAGTTTCCGTTCTGCAAACCAACTGCAAACCATAAATATGTTACCAAGAGGATTTTGAGCTTTGTGGCAACTTAGGGTGGCGAATAAGTGATATCAATAAGTGAAATGGTTATCAGTGATAACAAATGGTTATCATTTGAAATTAATTTGGACGATCCCTACGAAAATATTGTATTGAATTTAGACCGCAGTTTGGTTTATTCCGGAGTGCAATTGCCGTGGCCGGTATACCAAAACAATATCAATATTGATAATAATAAAACAATATTTGGTATATATACCAAAACATCACTCGAATTAATCAATCAGACGAAACAAATTAAGAGATAGCACTCAACCTTGTAGGACCCGAGCGTTTACGAGCTTGATGTCAGAGCATCCGCTGCCAACTACGACTTTGATGCTAAAGTTGGTCCAGGCTCTTGAGAAGTGGTCATCAATAAAAGTTTGTGCTTTCGCTATGTCTAATTAACACATACTCGTGCACATACAAACATTATCAGCTTAGCTACCCCTAAAAATACCTATTCGGCTGACGCTCTACAGGGTATTTATATTAGCATAAGAATCTTACTCTGCAGCTGCAGTGCCGTATGTCATAGCATATTTATTTCGTTTCGCTAATTCTTTGGTGGGATCCTTTTTCATCGTACTCAATAGCAATTTTAAAGCTTTCTCTGAAACATGATCATTCTTTTAGAAAGATTTTCAATACTCCCAATTAATTTGTAACGTTAATTACATATACCTTACCTCGGTCCCGTGTAAAACCTGATAAATAATTGGCACCTCTTTCAACAACGTCTGAAAAGACAACGCCTGTTCGATTATGAACTTCTATAAGATGTTACAACAAATACTTAACAAGCTTGTAACTTTAATAAAATAGATAATGAATGATATGACTTTTGGGAGATACAAGTCAAAATTACGTCCCTTTTATTTACATTAATCATTAAAGTGTAGTACGTCAGCGACATCACATAGCTAGCTGAACCCGTGATAAAACAGAATTAAAGAAAAACTCTGTCTCTTGGGGGGAAAAAAGACAGCGATAAAATAAATATGTAAAATGAATATTATATATATGTATAATTGATCCCAGAAAAGTTATACAGTGTCTATGAAATTACCGTCCATTTCTTTCTTTTGACGTTTCGGTGTAACCAAATCGACAGTTTGGTGGAGAGTTTTCTCAAATATCGGCTTTGTTACTTCATTCGCTTGAACGCTTGTTAAACCGGGTGCCGTTTCCAATCTAATACAAAAATCACCCTATAGGCAAATTGTGCGATATAGCATGCTTGATATTTTCTCTACGACTCACGACAATAAAGCCTATTTTCTTCTTTCTCCTGCTCTTATCACATCTAGGTGGGGTTGGCACAACATGTGAATAATATTGTTAACGGGTTTAGCTAGGTTTTTTACGACCGACCATCCGAACGTCCTTGGGATCAAACACCCAGATCTTGAACAAATATTCTGTAGGTCACACAATTTTTTTACAAATCCCCCTTGTGGGAAATCCCCCGGACGTCGAAGTTAGTATAGCCAGGGCCGGATTTAAGGGAGGGCAACCGGGGCTACAGCCCCCGGGTCTCCACAAAAGAGGAGCCCCAACAATAGACTTGGAAAAAAAATCAAATTCAGACTAGTAAACACTAGGAATCAACTTTCATATTTCTTCATAATTTTTGTTTCCGATTACATTTATACGTTCGATAAATAAGAAAATAATCTATACTCGGTTTCACAATAAATTATTTATTGGTAAACTCGACTGAAAAATTCTTCATTTTTTTTGTAAAAAAATTTGTGGCCAAGCGGCCTCCACTCCTATGTTGCCCCGAGGCCGCCAAATCCTCTAAATCCGGCTCTGAGTATAGCCTTGTCCGAATTGTATGAATTATTAAATAAAGTATATAAATGCTAACGCATGTGCAGCAGCAAACTTCGTTTCCACCTCTGAAAATTGTGGTGTAAACGGTTCCGCACCGCTATCGACCAAAGTTTTTAACAAAAGGTCGAACGCCGATCCTCGTTCAGCTGTAATAAATGTTTATTTAAATTCTTCTATTCCAATTAATAAAAAATCTAATTAGCCACGCTTACCTTTGTCGATGGCGTTCTGCGACAGATATTTCGAGCAAACGTCTATGGTTTCTGAGCTCATGAAAATGGTAAAACAATATTATTTACAATTATTATCACTTTTATATAATTCTGTTGAATATATTTTGAGTACTTTATCTAAATAGTATATCTTTTACATAATTTACATAAATAATATAATGAATTAAAACATTTTACATAATGCAATTAAGTACCGTCCATATCCGCTTGTAAATCGGGTTGCACTATACCGTCAACCGATTTTAAAAGATTTGTCTGGATTGTTTTGGTTAGATTCGGATCGTCATGGTCGCTTTCTAAGCTTCTCGCATTGCTCAAACTAAAAAGTATTCAAAGTAGCGTGAGGATTGATTATTGTCCGTAAAATGGTTTGATGTGTGTGCGGGAAAATAACACATTATTAAATAGATTTTCTACTACAGCACGGTACTCACACAGAAATGTCATTAAAATCATTCATTTGCGAAGTTTCAAATTAAAGCCTAATTAATAAAACTTGACAAATAAACTATACTAAAGAACGCTAAGAGCCAACTGATGTTTCTAAGAGGCGTATTTGAATACTTTATATTTATTAATATGAAATTAATACTTTAAATATTAAATTACACTATCATTTATATAGTGTACGTTAACAAAGAATATTTCGTACTAAATAAATAATCTAACAAACATCTTTGCGGTAAGGTGCATGTAATACGGCTTATGGAGTCAGTAATCTGCTAGATAAAGCAACGATATATATAATTATACATAACTATAAATATAGATAATGACAAAGATTTGAACGATTTAAAATTCGATAAACTAAGGAAATAAGGTTAAAAAATAATAAAGGGTTATTACTTTGCCGCAGCTTCTCCGTATTTCTGTCTAATATTTCCACTCTCAAATAACAACAGGTTAGGCTTTTTAAGCATTGTATTGATCAACATTTTAAAAGCAGGACCCTTATGCTCTGGAAAATAAAGTTATGTCACGTTAGTTGCTATATTTTACTTAATTTTTCTTTTGGCAACGACACTTACTATTTAGATCAGCATGTTCAGCTAAATAACTCGAGCATATGTAAACAATGTCTGAAAACAGAAATTAACGTTTTTATGTGCTTTATGTCAACACATATATAGTACAATAATTCAGTTATAAAAATTTTAAAATACCACGCATGGCTGTTTTCAAATTGGCAGGGGTCAAAAATTGTACTGTATCGGAGAGTGCATGGTTAATATTTTGCGCCAAACTACTAATGATTTCCTTAACCTGAAAACTCGGGGTTTCTTTGAGTCTGAAAATATCGCAATGTACTGAATTGCAACTTACTCTGTTGATTTATAATTTATTTGCAATAAGTCTTACTTTATTATGCTTACAGATTTGCTGCTTCCGCATAACTTTGCTTAAATTTTCCATATTCCGTTAAATTTTGGTCACCCTTTTTAAACATAGCGTTTGTTAGAATTGTGAAAGCTTCCAACATGTCACCTAAAAGTAAGGTCCCTTATTTCATATTTTATAAAGAAATATATAATAAAATGAAAACAACAATGAACATGATCCATCCTTACCAGTTAATTTTTTATAAGCTGGTTCAGCTGTAAAACGTTAATAAAAATAGTTAGATAGTATTTGAAAGAATAAATGATAGTCTTAGAAGTAAATGAACTTACACTTTGAACGGTCACCCTGAAAATGAAGAAAACCATAAAGTTTAATTATAACATCTAATCTATGTAAAATTTTGTGAAACGTGAAAGAAAGTGCACTGATATTGATAACTGCAGATTATTTGAAAATACTTAAATAAATAAAAAAACTTTGTGTTTCAATTTTGGAATCCAAAAGCTTTAAAAATAATGTTAACTAAAGCTAGCGCTAATAAACGATTTTATAGTTAAGATTTTTTGTGTTTAATATGTCAACCTGGGCTTACTCACACCGCGCATCATTTTCAAAAAATCATCCGCAAAACCTGCATCGCCTGCTGCGTCTGCCGCAACTATGTCTACAATAGAAATTTCTCAACGTCATGCATTAAATGTTAATACTTCTTATAAATTGGATCTCAGTACACCTTTTCAATCATACAGATTATAAACAGTAACGTGTCCAACGCTACAATTGCTACGAGACAACTACAGACAGCACTTCACGACAGTAAACATAACCTTGCTCTCGAAAAGGACCAGTCTTAGTTAAATTAACTGTTTACAAATTTAACACGGTGAACATTCAACATAGGACAACAGAACATATTATCGGAGTGCAGGATATCCCATATTTCTATATTTCAAGATAAAGAGTTCGTTATCGTAGAAAATATAAAAGTATTAGTTGTAAAATTTTCCCTTACTTATTACCAGTTTCTTTACATATTAAATAAAAATGAAATGAAAGGAAATTAAAAAATCACGTACCGTTGCTTTTAAGCAAATCATAGTTAATTTTGATGTTTAGGTATCTGGGTATCTGGTCGGCTATGTGGGGGAGGGGAGCTGGTGAGATATTTGATTTCTACTTGTTATTCAATGAAGTAGAAACACGATCGGGCGACGGACTTTTTTCTCGTGGAGATATCCCACCGGATTGAGGTTCAGACGTAACGTCGGGTTTTTTATCCTCATCATAGCTTCTCTCCACTTCTTCTCGAACAAAAAAATACTTACGTGAAATGCGTACCTCGTTGTGCAAATAAAAATTAAGTTGTGTAATTTTTAAATATAATTTTCTCGTGAATATTGGCAGCAGCACCAACGTACTGGTAACCAAATACTGGTATTGGTAACCGAGATTGGAGATATTAAATGAAAGAATATTCAATAGAGATTTAACCTTCATCTTCGTCAAAGTCCATCATCAGCATGCGATCCTCAGATTCCATAAGAATTTCATCGATCCAAACCGCAATCTGTTTAGGGCGGTTCACAACAAGTCTTTTTTACAGAATTTTAGGAGTAAAAAATTGTATTATATTTATTTATTTTATTAACAAACGAACTTAAGCTGCATTTTAATTGATACGCATGTTCGCTTCACTATTCTGTAATATTATTTTAAGCAACAAGTCTTCTCACGTTTACCTTATTTTGCGTACACTTTATTCGAACAAATCGTTAACATTTCAACCTTTAAAACTTTAGTAAGGAACATATCTAATTTATTAACCTTGTCAGACATCTCCATCATGAAGCGTGCTTTTGGGTTGTTTGAGTTTCTTAATGGGGTTTTCATTCTCGCATATCCACAAACATCATGTAGGATCACATTTGATAATCGCAGCATTCTATACAATCATATATATAAAGTTAGTACATTCGCGGTTTTTGAAATTTTTTTAAGTCACCCTATGCGTAATTTTAAATCACTCACCCGTCTCCAAGTGCGTAACGTCCCGGCTTTGATAAACGTTGTTGAATACCTCTTGCAAATGCAATCGTTGCATTTCTAGCCCATAAGAATCTTTTATCGTCACATAATGCAATCATATCTTTTTTTATTTGTTGTACACGCTTCCTGGTTGAATTCATAACTGCCATAAAAACAATTATATATAGTTAAACAAACGAAAAGTATTGAGAGAATTGCATACTTATTTCTTTTCTTCTTGGTTTTTCGCAGATTAACAAAATACTCATAGGCCTGATCCGGTTTAAACGGTTCGTCTGCGTCCAACATGGATCGTATTCGGGCAATCTGTGAATCATATTTGTTATTTAATTAATACAAAAAAATATTATTTAACTAAATATAATATAACCTTTCTTGTGATCCCAGCAACCTTAATGGTCGATTCAACCCTATTCTTAAATAACTGATTAAGAACAGTTTGATAATTGATCTGGACTATGGATTATATTGATTCGTGAGGGATTTTTAATCTGATGTAGACGACAAAACTCGGGTGAACGCAAATAAAACATGGATATTGTCACTCCAAAATGACATAACGAAAAACTGTACCGGAATGGGCGGAGCTTATAAAATGTACCGCGACGCGAGGCGGTCTTAGTAGTCCTGTCCAGGGATGACATTATGCCATATGAATTAATTTAATCAAAGATTTTCGATGTAATAATTTCAATTTATAAATTTGGTCACTTAGTTTACCTTTGATATTTTTATGTCATATTCGAATTTATAAGTAAAATTAAATATCTTAGATTAGAACTTAACTTGCGTTTCTTATTTGTTTCCTTTTCTGTTTAGATTTCTACAAACCCCTAAACGAAAAGAACAATAGATGAAAGTTGTTCAATTAGAGAGTCACGAAAGTGATCTGTTGTCTACCAAGACTTCAAAAATATGCTCAAAAGCTTAGAACAAGATTGCATGGACATTTCGAAAACGTTCAGAATCCACGACACGCTACGGCGCCTGTACCGTGACCATGAATTAGACAAATTAAATAGATAAGAAAAATTATTATAGTAAAATAATTTATATGTACGATTATAGAGTACGTTATGGTTATAACGATTTTGCGTTAAGCTTTTCTGTGTCATCGTAAGAGACGTAAAGAAGCCTAGGAGAATCTTTTTGGCTTGTCTTCTGTAGTTTTTTATATTACAAAACTTCAACATAACTTTGTTATAGACAGAGGCTGATAAGAAAGGGCAAAAACTTCTTATAAAAGCAGTTTTAAATGGAGACATGATAATGATTTTGTTTTGTTATCCACTATTTTTATTTTCCGCATTGAAATATTGTGTAAAGATATGGAAATCTCATTATAATGATGATTATGTAGGGATTTCTTTTAATTTATTCATTGTGAATCTATGTCACAGAAATATAAAAACTAAGGCAGAAGGTGTTGAAAAAGCGTATTGAATAATTAGTATTCGTTTCATTAACAATTATGCATAAAAACATTCAATATGGCGTCTGGCATTACTGCAACGACTTCTCAACTAGATACTGCGTTCAATGTCGGTGCTAGTGCCGCTTTATTTCAGATACGATGAAACTAGCGTATTGTGCAAATTAATATAGACCATTGAACTAACAAGTAAGTTCATATTTGTTTGAAGATAATTCAGTGTATATATGTGCCTGATTACTGTTAGTATGAGTTGTGGTTCTTTATAATAACAATCACTTTTATGAAGGTGCGCCTTCCATGTTTTATTTGCGTACACTGGTTCTAACCCAAACTACGGGCATTTTTTAATTGTTTTGACATTGACCTTTCTGTAGGATAACATTATCTGGTGTTGTAAGAACGTTTCACAAACTTCACGTGGACAAACATCCAAAACTGAAAAATTATCTGTGGTAAAAATCTCACTAGTTGTGTGAGCCCCACCCGTGTGGGAATCGAACCCACGACTCCCGACACCAATGCCAATACCATGGCAATACAGCAGCGCCGTGGGAGGGTCAAAAATGCCCTAGACAATTTTTTGACCAGTTTCCCGTCAGTCTGCCTGTTTTAAAATAAAAGCTACCTTCTATTCTCCATAGTGCCTAAAGCAATGACAAATTATATAAAACACTAGCTGACCCGGCAAACGTTGTTTTGCCATATAAATTATTTGTAGGGTAGAAAAAAATGTTGTGAGTGGACCACCCTTAACATTTAGGGGGATGAATAATAGATGTTGTCCGATTCTCCACCCTGGCCCATATTCAAAAGCAAAGCTAAGCACACAAAGTTTCACGAAAATCGGTCGAGCCGTTTTGGAGGAGTTCAATTACAAACACCGTGACACGAGAATTTTATATATTAGAAATAAAGTTTATGGACGCATCTCCCGGTCATACCAATAGGCAAACTATCACCGCTCTCAGCCGTTAGCCGTTAGCCGTAGTTTGCAATCTACTCAATAAAATAGGCATTCATAGCATACAGTCTCCGGCGGTAATATATTGGCATATTCTCTCCAAAGATATATGACGTTGCGTCGCCGAGGCTTCGCCATCCACTCCAGGCGATCGGTGAGGACCGCCCCATGCCGACGGAGACATCGGGAGTGGGCCTTGAAAGCGCGCTTCGGCATTGGCACATCGGTAGCTTTAGGGCCCCTAAATGGAAATGGAACATGTAACGTAAAGTAAAATAACATTAAACACACAGTTACAATATTTTGTTCAGAGTGTTGTGCATGTGTTCGCTCTGTGTCTCTCTCATTCTGTAATGTGAGTGTAATGTTCAATTTGCGGTCCTAAATAAATTAAAAAAAAAATTGCATTAAACTCTCTGTGTTCGTTTCTCCCTGTTGTGGTTTGTAACTATGTTTTATATATTTTATTTAATAATACTTAGGTTTAGCTGGCCTAGGCGGCGGTCGAACAGACTTCTGAGGTGAACATTTGAACTTGCTACGTAGATCCCGACCAGCGATTATGGTCTCGGCTACTGAAGGTGGCGCGGTCTCCTTAGAGTATGGGGGATACGGAGGATAGCCAGATGCGTCCATCTCTGGGGTCTCTAAAATAATCATATATAAAAATGAAAACTCTGATGAAAGATCATTTTCAACCGTAATAAAAAACGTGAACTTTCAGTAGTTCCTAATAAAGTAAATAATATAAACAAAGTAAATATTAAAGCAAGCAGGACTAAAATCATTAACTTATAATTAGTCATTATTTATTATGAAAACTATTATTAATCAATAATAAGTAACGTATTATTCCAACCTTCGCCTATATTAGATGTTGCTAATTCACTTTCGGCAATTTCCAATGTTCCCGATGTCGTTGTCGTTGGGTTAGCCATTATGATTGCTGAAAATTGCTACAAATACAAGCACTAAGATTTAAATTATACTATTTCCTTATTGAGTGGTGCTCAAACATTTTCTTGAATGACATTAAGTCCCTTGTATACTTCTTAAAGCTTAAGATAAAAATCTTTGATGGCCAGAATTTGTTACAGTACTGCATTATAAAAACTGGATCGATATTTTCTCTTACTGAAAGCAATGTTACAAAGTATTAGTATTCTTAGTAATTAGTATTAAGGACTTAAGAATTCTAATTAAATAACATTCAAACATGCTTGCTATGCCATGCTATAACCTTGCTATGCCTTTTTGCAATACTATCCGTTTTTGCAGGAACCTAAAATTATATTAAGAGTAAAGAGTACTAACGCAATGAGCAATAGGGTAACGCTAAGAGCAATAGGGTATTTGAGATACCCAAGCACCAATGCCCAACCAAATCTTAGGTTTCGACTGCAGTCACCTTCCAACTCCGGCTTCAGTCAAAAAACAGATGAACAGTCGAAGTTTTTTAACAGAACCGAAAAAAAATTACATCAATGTTTTACATTTCATGAAAATTTACCGTGGCCTTTAACATAATTTTGATACCACCAAGATTATTATAACCATCCTCTACATCCAAATCACATATGTGCTGGTATATACAACGTGTCGTTGCAACCGCGACAATAAAATATCATTCCGCTTCGTGCTCTCGTACGGAACGGATGTCTCTCTAAGACGGAGGGCACATGCCACCCGAATTAGACGCTACTCGCAACCTCGGTTGCAATTTATCTTGTGCAAATAGTGCAGTAGTTTAGTGTTAGTGTAGTGTTGTGCTCGTAGGCAGGTTCCTGTTTTGTAAGTAGAATCCTACACACACTTCTCGCCTCAGAGGCGGCATTGTTTCATTTATTAACTGTGTGCTTGTTGCAATAGGCGAAGGCTAGGTACCCACCCTAGCGCACCAAAAGCGCAGGCAAATTAGTTGTCATTTTTAGGCACACTCCTCCCTGCCGCAAGGTGGGGAGGCTTATTTAGCTCACACACGCCGGCGGGGCTACAAGCCCCAAAGGCACTTACGTCTCGATGGGCTCCCTTTTCGAGGAGTTCGTACGCAAAGAATGCCCCGCTATGTGGGAACGTTTTCTTGCCTATGAGGCCGAGCATAGGCAAGTAGTTGAACTCGCGTCGCCGCCATCGCCCGCGCCCTCTGCGCCCGTTACCCCGTCGCCTTCCGCGACCTTAGAAGCTCCCGTCGCATCGGCACCCGTTGCCGCGAACTCGCCCGTCGCGCCTTCCGCGCAACCAAACCCGACCTCTTTTCGCTCCGTAGTACCTGACTCACAATCGGACGGCGGATTGGACATGGAGGTCGAAACGACCCCCGCTGATAACGCAAACGCCGACGGCTTCACCGTCGTTAAATCGCGTAAAAAGGGCAAGAAACGCCCCGCTACCTACAGCGACCCCGAATGCGAGGCCGCCTCAACGACCCGTCCCACCGCGATGCCCGCTAAAAAGGCGGCCGCGGCGATTAAACCGATGCCCGAATTCGCCTCCGAGCGAAAAATGAAGCCTCCTCCACCCATTATCATTCAGGAGAAGGCTAAGTGGCACCAAATTTGTTCGTGGTTCGAACGCCACAATATCCGCGACCCTCGGTCGAAAAACACGCATATGGGTATCCGTGTATACCTTGACACTACGGACGACTTCCGCCGCGTAACGAAGCATTTGCGCGAAAACAAGTTAGGTTTCCACACCTACTCGTTGCCCGAAGAAAGAAAACTTCGGGTAGTAATCAAGGGCATCCCCAAAGAGTCGGATGTCGACAAGGCGAAGACCGACATCCGCACTCAGGGATACCCTGTGCATGCCGTACGACGCCTCAGGCACCCCAGAACCCGTGTCCCTATGGACATGGTGATGGTTGAACTTGACCCTACCCCGGAAGGTAAGGCCATCTTCAACCTGAAGAGGGTCTGTGGGCTCAGCGACCTCGTGATCGAGCCCCCACGTAGGTCAGGAGTTGTGGCCCAGTGCCACAACTGCCAGCATTATGGCCACACGGCTAATAATTGCTTCGCTCACCCTAGGTGCGTCAAATGCACCGGTGACCACGGCACGCCCGACTGTACGCGGCCGAAAGATTGCGCAGATCCACCGGACTGCGTCAATTGTCATACCACCGGCCACCCGGTTAGCTACAGGGGCTGCGCTAAGGCCCCTAAAACTCCCGCGAGAAAAGCTCCCGCAAAATCAACGTTACCTAAATCCGCGCCCGCGAAATTCATTCCCGCACCTGCACCCGTCGTAAACGCCTGGGCGAAACCCCAAGTAGTCGCGCAGGTAGTCGCGCCACAGGTCGCCTCACGACCAACGTTAGCCCAATCGCAGCCCGCCGTTCAACAGGCGCCGAGGCCACAGGTGCAGTCAACACCACCGGTATTCACCGGAAACAATGACGACCCGTTCGACCAAATTGGAAACATCTGCGGCTTATTAGACCGCATAAATAGACAAGAGCTCGCCGTATTGTCCAATAAATTATCGGCCGCCACATCTGGCCTCGAACGTCTCACAGCTATTCGCGACCATAAAACACTTGTAGACGCCTTATGGGTGTTTACAAGCCAGCCGTAAACTTTATAGTCCGCGCAATAAAACCGCGCTCCGCCGCGTCGTTAATTAGAAACTATAAAAAACTTTTATGGAAAGTACAACCGCATGTAGATCAAAACCTCGGGCTCTGGTTGTTTCGTATTTCAACGCAAATGGCATTAAGGGCACAAAGGGACGAAATCTCGGAATTCCTCCGCGATTATAATGTAGATATTTTTCTAGTGCAAGAGACATTCTTAAAACCTAGCGTACGCGATCCCAGAATCGCAAACTACAACATAGTTCGCCACGATCGGTTAGCAAACCGTCTGGGAGGCACTCTAATTTATTATAAACGGTCCTTGCACTGCAGCCCGCTCGACATTCCAGAGCTAAGTCATATAGAGGCATCCGCGTGTAGGTTAGCGCTCACCGGCCATAGGCCGCTTGTACTAGTCACAGCCTACCTCTCGGGGAACAAAACCTTATTACAAAGCGACCTAGTTACGCTTCTCAACTTAGGCCCTTCCGTGGTAATTGCAGGAGATCTAAACTGCAAACACGGTTCATGAGACATCCACAGCATCCCAAATAACAACGGAAGGCATCTCTTTAGCTTATCCGATAATTTAAACTTTAGCATAATCGCTCCTGCGACTCCCACTAGGTATCCTACGGTGGACAACTACCAACACGCGACACCGAGTATCCAAGATATCATGTTATTAAAGGAGGTCTCGCTCGACATCGAGTCGATAGAGACAATCCATGAACTAGATTCAGATCACAGGCCCATCCTGTGCAAACTGGGCCAGAACGCCGGCGCGGTCCCTCCGACCAAATCCGTAGTGGACTGGCATCGTCTTGAAGTCAAACTCAAGGCCTTGGACCCCCAGGACTTAGTCGACCTACCCGAGACGATAGCTACGTTCGATGACGCAAATCGAGCGATAGCAAGTCTCCGAGAAACCATCACTTACGCCGTCGCAGACTCGGAACGGACGGTGAAACTGTCGAGCGACCGACGGTTTAACTTTCCGCCCGACCTGCGACTGCTAATTAGGCAGAAAAATGCAGCCAAACGCGCATTCGACCGATACCGATCGGAATCGAACCGAACCCTACTTCGACGCCTTCAGCTAGAAGTCAAAGATCGTGTATCGGAACACCGACATACAACGTGGGACACTCTCCTAGAGGACATCGAGCCATCGCACACCGCCTACTGGCGGTTGGCCCGCAGTCTGAAAGCAGACGCCCGCGAATCTCTACCGCCGCCGTAGTTAGACCTAATAGCGCTTCAGTAGCCCTAGATGACTCCGAAAAAGCCGAATGCCTTGCGGACAACCTAGAGCAGCAATGTACGCCATCGCGCGAACACACCGATACAGTCCACCTAACGGAGGTCAGCCTCCTCAGTTGCCTGGGGAAGCTCTACGAGCGGCTATTATTAAATAGGCTCAAAGAGCACGTATTTTCCAACGGCCTTCTGCCGGCGGAACAATTCGGCTTTCGAGCTAGACATTCCTGTCCCAACCAATTATACCGCCTAACGGAACACATCTTGAAAGGCTTAAATCATCCGAAACATATTAGCACGGGGGCTCTTTTCTTCGATGTCGCAAAGGCATTCGACAAGGTCTGGCACAACGGCTTGCTTTACAAGCTGTACACACTCAAAGTGCCAGATAGGCTCGTACACACCATCCGGGCCTTTCTGTCAAACCGCTCTTTTCGATATCGAGTTGAAGGCACCCTCTCCACAAGCCGCCGCCTCACGGCCGGCGTACCACAAGGCTCCTGCCTCTCACCTTTGCTCTTCACGCTCTACACGAGCGATATACCTAAAGACCCCCACGTCAATCTCGCGCTTTTCGCGGATGACACGGCGCTCTTTCATTCAGACCGCAACCTTAGACAACTAACCACTCGACTCCAAAGCGTCGCCGACCGCCTCGGCGATTGGTTCCGCAAATGGAGAATAGAAATAAATCCCGAAAAGGGTGTGGCGATTCACTTCACACGAAGTACTTACCCGTCACATCTTTATAATGGCCCTCGTCAATGCAGAAAGTTGGGGCAAATATCCCTATATGGCCAAC